GTTTCAGACTATTGTTTTCAGTTTGGATGCAGTTCTCGAGTAATTTTTGTATTTTTCTGCCTTGTTATCACTTAATGCTTTCTTCTGAAATTTATTTTCAAAAGTTTTAAAGACCCCCCTTTAATTAGTTGGGGGGGGGGGGGGGGGTCGCGAAAGACTTCGCAATTATTTTGTTATTGATATTTTGCCAGTAATGAAATGATTTTCTTCCAATTATAAACCTACTTAATATAAAGTCTTCTGTATAAATGTCATTTACAAACGGGAGATTATGGATAGAAGAATATTTTGCTAATTATAATAGAAAGCAGAAACTAATCTAGGGAATTTGTCAATCAGACTTATATGAAGTCTTCTCTGTTATTGAGCTTATTAGTTTAAGATCGATATTACAATGTGGAAACCTCTTTTAAAAGCAGAAATCAGGAATAACACATCGATGAAATCTTTATCGTTTAATGTTGTCACAGGAAAATGTGTGTCATAGGAATATCGGGTATAGGAATTTCTTCACTATTCTGAATAACGATAATGTTTTCCGCTATCAGATCATTTGGTATTTATAGAATAATTTTATTTTAGATAAAAGAAATATCAATCTCCCATAGTCTGTGTACACGCCAAACGTTGTGGTAGTTTATCTGAAGTTATTCTGATTGTTAGATCACTATCTCCCGCAACTTTTTCCTCCACTTCAGTTTGGTTTCAAATAAATTGTTATCACCGTTCACCGGTACTGGGTGTCAAAAGTATTCAAAATGCTGTTGACATCGAAATTCTTTGATATCTATTAAAATAAATATACGTTTTGTTACTTTGTAGTATGTAGTATGAAAAGAATCGATTTCCATTCCATAGCTCAAGGACGTATACAGAGGAGGGGTGGGGGTTTCAATCGAGAGGCATGCTAAGCATTCCCAACTCTGCAGCCACCCGCCACTCCCCTTCCATTGTCTATAGATTTAGTTTCCGGTCACTTCGGTGCGGAAATGGTTCTCGGTAAAGTAATGTAACATAGATGAAGTAACGCCTTGTGAAAATGTATTTCATGATTTAAGTAGTGAGATTTATTTTATTAAAAACAAATATATATATATGTAAAATTTATGTTGGCGAAATGAAATATATATATGACGTTATATTGATACACCAACTTCGCATACGTTTTGCCAAGTCAAATAAGCAATACACGCGTACTGTCAGAGAATCTTATCAGTGTAATCAGAGGCGGATTACACCATAGGCAGTGTAGGCAGCTGTCTAGAGCCCAAGAAACAATAGGGCCCATAGAATTTTTGACGACCTTTTTAAATTTGATGTTTTACATTATTTAATTCACTGGACTACGCTTCCGACGAACCTCACTCGGTTGTATCAGTCGTTCACTATCAGGGAAGAAGGCCCACACAGTCTTTGACACCATAGAGCTCGAGATGAGCTTTAGTGTGATCGATCACTCCAACTGGGAGACTGGTCAATCGCTCGCCTTGCATTAGCCTGGTATCCGCTTTCGCTGTCATTTAGAAACAAGTTGTTGCGATTTTCTCTTGAAATTTGTATTTCCTTCATTACGTGAAGGCCGGGTCATTTCAACGTAGGTGGGTTCGCCGTTGATATGGCCTAAGAGCAAAGTTGTGGATGGGAGAAAAGAGAACAGAAAAAACTTGAAGCTGAAATGCTGAAAAAAGCGGCCAAATCTAAGCCCAAAATCACGATTTTTTTCGATGACCAGGAACAGGGTCTCTGCTCAGTCGATGAAAACACGAATGATATCATCGAGAGTGATGAGTCGCCGACCGACCAGGAGAGAGTGATTTCTGAAAGTGATGATGACAGCTTGGAAATTAAGTTTGTTTTCATTTTATCCAGCAATTGGTTGTTGCTGTGCTCCTCTGAGCATCAATTGATTGTCACTGGCCGACTGACATGGTAATGTTTGACTAAGTTGTAGTGCTTGACATTATTCCGTCATTATCCTCGGATATACAACGGTCTTAGTTTTACTACGGCAAACCAGTTTCGCAAAGGGTCCATCAGAGCCTTGATCCGCCTCAGAGTGTATATAATGACGTTATCACCTGTTCTCAGTGGCGTATTAGATGGAATATTTGTGGCGTGGGGTGGGAATGTATAGGTTTCTTTTTTTTCCTACCGAACACGCATAATATGAACAGAGAGAGAGGGGGGGGGGGGGTAACATATCGGGGTCTTTTAACAGCGGTGGGAATCTAGGAGAAACCCCCTACTTACAAACAAGTGTTGGATCGAAACCACGCCACTTGACTCAATGACAGACCTTGCGATCTAAAGCGCACCGTTTAGACCAAAATAATCATACTGTTTTAGCGATAGTTAAGCCTCCAAAAACATGATAATAACAGACATGTTTTTGGTACTTCTAAATTTTTCTTCCTAAATCATGTTAAGGCGATCGTTATATAGGTTGTCACGCAATCATGTTGGAAATCTGCATATTTCTCCAGAACGAGAGAATGTAAACTGCGCGAACACCGAGTTCATAGAATCCAGATAAAAACTTTCGCTGTATTTTGGAAATGTTTAGCGATGGTGTTTGAATTTTGGAGTACTTGGTTTAGAAGGTCGCCTATTTAGTGTTAAATATCCACATTTATATCCTACAGATTTAATTTAAACCCCACGCTACTGTTATTCATAACCAAAATTATATCACCATCCGCATACAAACATTCTCTTAACGATTTGACAGAATTATCCATCCTGCATCTATTTGTTATGCATCTAAAACAAATTGTCGATTTCGTTCGATTCCACGTGTTGATTTGTTTTGTTGGATGGTAAATCCGTCTTCGTCTATAGATAAAGCTAGTATTGATGCCAACACCCACTTCATTTTTGTAAAAATAAATTCTTTCGTATTGAGCTTGCCACATCACTATTCAACATCGGATCAACCCAATTCAATCCTTTATTTTGACTTAAATCAAAGAGGTTTAGCAACTTCAACAACAACAAAAAAAAAAAAAAAAAAAAAAACAACAAAAAACAAACTAGACATCTACACGCCTCAGAACTCGAGTATTTTATGAACACAGCATTACAGATTTAGAGGGTTATTCAAAATCCGTTCTAAGAAAATCTTTTTTACAGTGAACCTGAATAAAAATATGGTATTCCTTTTTTTTTTTTTTGTCTATTCTGGAAACTCTTTTTGGGAAGTGTGAAATGACGTCAATAAGATCATGACGTCTTCAATACAGTGACGTCAGCTTAACAGGTGCCCGTTATTAGTAGAAATATTGATTTCTAAAAAGCCAATGAGCTTACAGAGCCTGCATGAAACTATTTAAAATGTTTATTTACGTTTGTCAGGGTTATTCTAGGTCACCCGGTTAACTGTGTTATTACAAAGAAATAGCCTATTTTAAGTAGAAGAATTTTTTTTATTCTCTTTAGAAGACAATCCTAGAAGAATAGAATATGTTTAACGGCTCGGCCAATAGAGACTATTGCAACACAGGGTACAGTTTTTATTGATACACAATTACTGGATTTATTAATGCAACGTATCGAAGCGACTGATCTCGTCTAAATATCATTTAGCCTATCGTCGAAACATTGCATATTAATAAATCCAGTTATTGTGTATTGATAAAACTGTACTTTGTGGTAATGTGTTCAATTACTAAATGCCTAGCATAAAGGTAAACAAGAATAATTTTGAGTTATGTTGCTTCGGTGTACCGTCTCTTGTACATGCTTTCAAATGTATGCAGGAACACCTGGATTTTTCATTCTATCCAATAACAGGGCACATATTCCTTGTCAACCAAGCGGCGGAAAGTGAACAATTCACACGGTTCTTCTTATAGGGGTATTCTAGCAGAGAATCCACTCCTTATAACCACTCGACTACCAAGGTTATGAATGGTATTGGTGTCTCGTCTAATAAAATTCAGAATTTGACCCCGATAACTATTTGATGGAATCTGATCCTGATAACACTAACAATTGCGTTGGGTCGTGGGGTTTAACGTCCGCTTCTACCGGGATGATATCGCAGATTAAGACTAACGCATTAAAGAACAACCTCCTTTTGCATAGCTGCATAAGCTCGATATGGTTCCCAAACGTTCACTTAGTGTGTAAACGATTGCCTACTTGTGTGCAGTGAGCTTGATGTTCAAACTTTCATTTATTCTATTGATGATAAATTTGTTAACACATTATTCCTTTATTCGGATTAATGGCGATACTGGGTGGATTTGATTGGTATACCAGACATTCGAGTGGAACAATTCAGTATGACATTTGGGGTCTAAAGAGCAATTCAATAAAACTATACCGTGTAATCTGTATTTTTCTCAAGGAGGAAAAAAGAAGCGAGCGCTAAGTAGTGTAGTGTTATAAATTAAAAATATATTTTATGTCGCCAGTTCCTCTAAAGATGAAAATCATTTTTCTCTCTTTTTTTATTTTTCGCCCCAACCCGCAACCGATGATTAACACAGTCAGATTCCATTTAAAATATTCTTTGTTGCAGGCGCTAGCACGATATGAACAACTTTGATAAGTACATGGAAGAATTTGCAGTAGTGTAGAAGTAAATCTATTCTCGGCCAATCGAAGAGGGTATACATAAACATAAACTGAAACTTAATGCAAGGCTAGCCAGGCAATTCATGCGCGCATCTTCAGCCCATTTGTCAACTTCTCCTGTCAAACTTTGCCGTCATAAAGATTTACGACAAGAAGGCCGACTTGCAAGTTGGGGGTCGAAGCCTGTTAATCCCGATACCAGCTCCTCGTTAAATCTATTGTTACGTGTCGGGGATAATAGGATTAACTCGATTTTACTGATTTACGTATACAACTAATTAGTGTTCTGGTTGTTTACTGTCCCATGATTGCAAACTCAACTTCATGTTTATACTTGATACGCCAAACATCACGCCCCTTCCCTTCAAACAATGTAGTCGTCCAAAAAGACGCATGCGCACATCCTCACACGTGTTCATAAACAAATTTTGATGGAAAGAGGGTAACACTAATAATAGCAAGTCTTGGTTTGTAGTTTGGATTCTAACCTTTCTTAACTCAGGTAGTTTGCTACAGAATTCAAAGCTTGTTAACATGGGGACTGAAACTAACAAAGATGATCGTAGTACGCCAGAGTACTTAGCCCAGTTACTTAAAGATAAAAAACAAATACAAGCTCTTCCAAACGTATTCGTTCATGTGGAAAAGCTTTTAGACGAAGGTAAGTTTCTTTTCAAAAGTTTGCAAATCGGATGATAAACAAAAATTCGGATGCAGCTTGGAATTGTGATAGTAATCTCGCTGCTGTGAAAAAGATAATATATCGCGAGAGACAGTCATAATCAAGTCGGTTCTATTTATAATTAGGGCTGTCGAAAGTGGAAGCCGGCGATGAAAGTTTTATTGTTGACGTTTGATCGTTCGTAAAAGTTATTTAACAAATGTTTTTGGTTATTTCAATATCACCATTGTATTTGTTTAACCCTCGGCGATTGAATAGTCGATAATTTAAAGAAGACTCTTGGAATAACAAAGTGTAAATTCTATTTTTACGCACAGACGCATCGCATTCCAACACACAGCCGAGCAAAGTTTTGGCAGCCATTTTGAAAACTTATACCCATCATAGCTGAGCTCATTTGTTAGTCAAAAGGGACACGCAAGTTGCTCGTCTAGATCTTGTTTCTATCTCAATGCCTTCAGGCGTTTACGCATGCGAGGCCACGAATGACAGCTACTGTCGACAGCCTTTAAAGACGCAAAAGCCTTTAGAAAAAGATAAAATATTACTGGGGATATCGGCTCACGCACATTTAGGTCTTGTTTTAACTCTGATAAGTACTAAAGTAACCTCGGATGTAGGCAAACCTAACACAAACATGAATTCCCTTACTTCCGTGTATTGGGTTATTTATGAATAATGAATGATAGTCCACTACAGAAGTACACGTATAATATTATACAATAAAATCTGTATGTTTGTGACATACACAAAAAGTAAAACATATGAAATAAAACAAACAATAGGCCTACTATACCAAAATAAACTTATTGTTTGTTTATCATAAACCTTGCCAATTATTTGACATCCAGTGTGAGTGAAACCTAATAATGATAATGGGATTAATTCCAATATTGCTAAATCACATATTAACTTAATCCTTATAAGACATATAGAAATAGATTTCACTAAAAATAAACACACTTGTATGGATATACCACTTCTGAATTTTTTTGATAAGATACCTGTATGTGTATTGAAACTGTGTATGTGTATTGAAACGTAGCATGTTAATAAAATTCAGAAGTAGTATATCCATACAAGTATGTTTATTTTCACATATTAACTGATAGATTCCATTCTTGTTTATGTGTTAATCCAATTGTGTAGTATTGACACACAAATCTTTAATGTGAGCCTTCTGTATCAAAAGGCTGTAAACCCCCTTCACACCTTATTCTTATTGCCAATAGATAACCGCTTTAATACATAGTTTAATCTTTTTAAATGCCAATATAGATGTTTGATATCAGTAATGGTGTATGAACTACCGATAATTTAAAATTTATCATTATGTAAATGTTTACTAATACATTGTGCTTGTGCCCCAACCTTTTTTCTTAATTTTGTTTTAATTAAGAATACATAATTAAATTCTAGATCTGATTAATAATGGTAACCTTATTCAAGTTTAGCGTTTTCTTTAATACATTTATTAATATTTTTAGAATGACACCTTTTATTGTATAATTGCCATAATCATTACTTACAAAAATATAATTGCATAGTAGAGCTGGGTATTAAAGTTGACTTATTAATTATCTATTGAGAATTCAAATCTCATTGACAATGGATGTTACAACATGGATTATGATGAGTGGATATCTGAGGTAATATTTTTAAAAGATTTTTTTTAATATTTTTTTGAAGATTATTAAAGGGACAATAACACTCTTGCTGGCTTGAAAGCTCCAGAAAATAAATAATATCTCTATCTAAGTACTAGATGTTTAAGTGTACTACCTGTTGTGTAAATTATCCATTACATCCTATTTTACTTGTCCAGAGGGTTCGAAAATATTTTTAAATCGAAGTTTCATTTGAAAAGGTATACGTTAGACGTTTCAAACCATTATATTGAATTTTTCAAAATTTTTAAATAAGGTGTGTTAAGATGAAATTTGTATCATCAATTAATTGGAATATTGTAAAATAGTACAATTTGTTGACCAGAATAAAGATTGGGACATATTATTCAGTTACAACAAGAGTGGTATTGAGCCTTTAAAGTACATATATTAATATTTGTGATTAAGATTAAAGTAGCTAAGTCTCTAACTCAATATCATCCAAAGTCTTACACGTTGAAAACACAAATTATTTGTCAGACAATTCAAATCAACGTTGATGTTGTGATCTTACCGGGAAAAGGTAGGCTTCTGATATCCAATATTTAAGACAAAATAAACATTTTACCATTGGTACACTGTACCATAGTGCGTTTCAGCGTCATTTGTAACAAGTGACCAGAAAGAACGAGGCTAGACATATTCCACTCCTCATGTCAAACGGTGATGCCTGGAGAGTATGCGCAATAGACTGGAATAACCAGACGCTGGAAATTGTTATTCGGTTGAGACTCATGCCGTATTTCGCTGGACATAACTGATTTGAAATTAGAGTCAAAACGAAAACAATTGAATGTAAATCAGTTTATATACAAACAGATTACATTATTATATGTGTTGCGACCCATTTGGGTCAATTTCTAGGTCCCAAAATTATAGTGATTTAGCTCCTTTAAATTCCATAATTTGTAGCCACCAATCTTTCTGTACTGTACTGAGTCAACTATTTTTATTGTACCATACGATAATACATGTATTTAGCAATAAGTTATGTGTACCCCTCAACCATTTTGTTTTGAGAACATTGATCCCAATAATTTATTCAATCTTCTTTTTTTTTTTTTTTGGGTGGGGGGGGGGAGCAGGGGTGCATACATGAACTGATAATCAAGGGGAGGGAGTACTACACACATAATTAAATAAGTGTTCGTTACTAGTGTGGTGAAATGAATGCGTTATTTATAAATTATTTGAATTTGAGCAATTGTGACATACATTATCATAAAATTGTTATGCAGAATTTTGAAAAAAAATTATAATCTTTACTACATGTATATTGTTCACCATGTACTACAATGTATGTTCCAAATCACCTCACTGAAACAGTGTGATCAGAAAGCATGCAACAAGTTTAATAACTGTAAAGGTTATGGTTTTACTTCTAGTGCATAAACCTACATACACAATTCTTATTATTGATACATCTACAATGTACATGTAGGTCAGTTCAATAATATAAAAATGTCATTATATATTTTAAAAAGTATACATATTTACATGGAAAAACTGTAAATCCATGAATGTGTATTTATTTTCATACATATGTACATGTAGAGTACATTATATTGTATGAATAACTGTAATGTTAATTTTCACATACAATGTACAAAAATTAAATATAGAGTGTATTGTTCTTTAATCCACTGTATAGTACAGTAATTCAAGACCCTTTTTTTTTTACATGTGTATTATAATCCAGTTGACATAATTTTACAGTATACACAATGCAGTCTTTATACATACGTATTTAGTATGCGAAATATTTTACATAAGTAGCAAATCTCTGTCTGTTGCTGTCCTTATCCTACTAGCACAGGCAGCAGTATTCTCTTCAACTTAGTTCTCCATACTAGATCCTGTATCTTATCTAAACATGCATGGCTGCATACACATCCTTTAATTTTATCTTCTTTGCTGGTTATAGAAAAACATCTATACGATTGTAGGCCTTCATGTACATGTAATGGAGATCTGCAGATATTTCATGGGAATTAAATTTATGAAAAAGTTTGTGATGATTGATAGGTAACATGTTCAGTTAGTCTAATTATATCTGCACATTATTTATGTACAGTTTATATGATTGGTCAATCCATTAACGAAAAGCACAATCTATGGAAATCCTTTGACCTCAGTTAGACACTCGATCAAACATCTGGATAAAGCATTTCATAATAATTTCACAAACATCTGTATCTCTGGTTTTGATTGGTCAAAAAACTCACAATCTGCAAAATGTTTAACACACCTTAGAAAGAAAAACATTACAAATGGATTAAACAATCGAAACAAAACAGATCAAAATTTTGGTACAGTTTTAATTAGACTAACTTATCATCTGGTAACATGCTACATTAAGAGACATGCATTTGCATGAAAACTTCAGCAGGTTACAAAAATATGTAACTATACATCATAGACATTCATGTTTTATTCAGGATTGTCTATCATCCATTCCATCTTACAGATGTCAGAATGTTTCTTTGTAAATGGTATTATTCTGGATTGACAACTCTTGTTGATTGACCCAAAGGGAGTTTTTCTTCTAATCCGTCCTGACAAGAAGGATGTCAGTCTAACAAATTCTGGTCTTGACACAGTGAAATTTAGGCTTGGATATACTCATTCGTGCATAATTGTCTTGTCAACAGAACGTTGTTGTTATATTTGCAAACATAATTCTGAATGAACCTGGGCTCTGTAAGACAGGAGTTTGGTGATTGTGAATTTCTGATTGAAAATAAGGAAAGCATGACAAAACAAGGATATTAGCAAGCCATGTGTCAACCCTATTAGAAACCTACATGTAGGTGTGTTCTATCTGTTAGTTCAGTAATGGTTTTAAAAAGAAACCCCCATTATAGTTTGTGTGATGAATTGGGTTCAGAATTAAACTTGGCACACAACTACAATACACTATTAGCATACATGAATTTACATTGTGAGAACTGATAAGTCAGCCAAGATCAATACAAATACATGTAATATCACACTCTGAATTTAAATAGACTGATTTTATGATTTGTTAGTCATATATCAATTCTATTGAAATTGATGGAATCCAAGACAGAGAGTATTCTATGATATAGTGTAAAGGGGTTTTCCCAGTTCTGAGATTTTCATCTATATTTGATTGCATAAAACAATCCCCTTTTGTTGGTTTTCAGTGCAATGATTGGAAATGATTGGTTTCTATTGTTGTTATTGGCTTTCCCCTGAATTCCATTACAGGTCATTGGAGACCTCACCTACACCTAGGACTGCTAATTTAAACATGCATGAATATTTATAAGCTTTCAAATTCCCACACCAATTTCTGTTTAATTCTGTACATTTTACATGCCAATTTCAATGAATGCATGATGTAGTGCCAATCTTCGACAGTTGAATAATGATGGGGGGATCAATTTGTGACCGAGCCAGACTAAAGATCTTTAAGCACTCTCCGGAATAGATTGGTTTTGTTTGTTTTTGACGCCTGTGATGTTTACATGTAAATTTGTTGTCTGTTTACAATGCACACCATCAGATGCGAGTGCGACAGATGCATATAAAGTTTTTCTATAAATGCACATCTGGTGGTTAAATTGACAGTTGCAGCACATGTAACTAACATTGTAGAATGATAAAGATTTAATCAACTTAACCGACTATTAAAAATTTTATCATCATTGCTAATTTATAATCCTGTTTTAAATATGTACAATATCTTGAGGATATATAAGTAGACCCATGTCCATTATTTAGTTGTTACAGTTACACACCTACAGTACATGTACTTTAATTATGATCTTGTGGAAAATCAATCTCACATAATTTCAACACAGAGTTAATTAAGCAGTTTTCTGGTTTCTAAGAGGAGCATATTCCATTAAAATAATCAATAATATTTTTAGCTTTTAATGGAGTCAAATTAAAACATCTTTTATTGCCTTCTATGTATTTAACTACAAGTACACAGCGTAAAATCAGAATTTAACTCTTTGTGGTAGGCCTACATGTACCTTTAACTTCCATCTTTATTTTTCAAATACATTTGTATGCAGTGGGTTGTCAAATACATTTATCTATGTCTCTGGGGAATTACTTGTGGGCTGTATAGGGGAAATTAGATGTGATTTTTTTCTCCTTCATTCTGTAAACTAGTGCCAACCAATTTTATTAACTTTAGAGGTTTCTTTCGCCAATTGGCATAATTGAAGACATATTGTGTGTACAATTAGAGCCAGCTATCATGTCTATCAAAGATTTGTTTTCACTAAATGTATGTAATGTATATGATTGGCAACACTGCCTAACAGCTTCTGGAATTGGTTTGGTCAAAACCTAGACCATGGGATTGGGAATATATGTACCACTGTTGGATGGAGGCAGCCTACTATTTCAATATTATGCTGAAAACCAAAAATCCTATATCAGTTTTAAAGCAAGGATTCCAAGTTTTCCAACAGTTAAATTTTGTTGACTGTTAATACAAAAGAGAAGGTGTGAAAGACTGTCTGGAGCCGAGGATAAGTGTTTGCCTTTAGCTATGACAAAATGTACATGTGTACCAAGGCTATTGCCCTCAAAGAATTTGTTTAAAATGACAAAATGTCATCAAGATGTATCAGTGTATAGTAAAACATGTATATATATAGTAAATGAGTGTTGGGTCACTTTGGGTGTTTACAAAATGCCAGGGATGATTTTGGCTGTTTATTGGTTACTAAATGTTATTTCTATATGTTTTTCAGAAATTAATAAAGTAAGAATCTCCCTCTTTCATCACAAATCCAACAGAGAACCATTAGAATTACCCACAAATGAAGGAGCAGTTGTGACATTATCAGAAAAAATATATGTTCCTGCAAAAGAACATCCAGAGGTAAGTAATCTTGAAGAAGTTTTAAAACATTTCAACGTGTGGAATGCAGTGGGTTTAATGAATGGATATAGATAGCAGTAAAGTAGCTGATTCGCTCAACATTCTTTGGTAAAAACTGTCTGAAGAACAGGCGAAAAATGTTATGTGCAATAAACGTGTATTACAAAAACAGGCCATTAACTTCAGCTGATGATCCAAGACCCCAAATTTCAAGATAGTTATTTTTTGAAAATCTTTTGAAGTGGTAGAGTGAAGCGGTTAAATATTTCACACCTTTAGTTTATTGATCTTAAAACACACAACCGTACAACTGACAGGGATATTATAAGACTTAACATGATGTATGCTAAGTGTTGAAATACATAAATGTAGCTTCTTCTCCAGTAAGAACAATTTCTTTGTTCTCACTTGTTGGTGATATATTATTGACCAGCTACTACATGTAGTTGTTGGCTTTTAGTATTTAACACCTGAGAGAAATTTGTCAATTCAGCCAACTGTTTTACTACAAAAAACCTGTCATAATTTTTGCCAATGTTCTCGGAAGGTTAATTACTTTAATTCCATTTAAATATTAAATTTTTACGCTTGGTGAAATCTCATTGAAGGAATTGAGTTTTTTTTCTATTTCTGGGGAGATATTATGGTGTGAAAAATTTTAATTGAAAATACTAAGCTGCTCAACTAAGTTATAATTTTCTTGAGTCACACCATTCATCAGAAGACTCATGAAGAGTTACATTCCATTGGTCAACTTTTGACATGCCTTCTCCGTAGAAGATTATGACTAATCTAAAGTAACTTTAGCAGTCAGAAAGATTAAGTGACAATGAACATAATCCTAAGAAATACAAAAGAAGCTTGGCCACTGATTGTTGTTAAGTTAATAGTAAATGAGAGGGGAAGCGTTGACCATGCTGATGAATGTTTACTTTTTGGTGTAGTCGGATAGTTGTACACATCTGCTTCAAACCTTCAGCTCTTTCTCTCACATGTGTGTGTAGAATTTTTCTTGTAAAGTAAACTCTCATTTTCCTGCCATTAACAAACTATGTCTGGTTGAATTCTTAGTTCAACACGACTTCCTATATACTTCCTTCTCCTATTTTCCTACGCTCATTAAGATGGTATCTGATGTCTGACTGGCTACCAGATACCCCATCTTGGTACGGCCATTCCACATTTTATTATCTTCATCAGAACTCATTTCATCTGAGCAAATTGACTTAATCTTCGCTCATTTCGGCTTTAAAACTCAATCTGACTTTGGTTAATTTGATGTTATTGTTTAACATAAGTAGAAAATAAAAATGTTGTTGTAGATCAATCGATATTAAACCATTATGTAAAAGCTATGTACACTTAGTCTTGGAAGGAAACATGATTTCCTTTATTTGCCTAAAAAGTAAAAGCAATTCGAAAGAAAGCCAAATGTTCCACCTTGCGCCTCAGAGACGATCAAAACATGAAACTGAATAATTCAGATAAATAGAGTGAAGATATCTGATGTAACATGTTCATGTAAGAATGTGGTTATGGTTTTCTTGGATATAATTTAAATTTTATCAGGATTTTCTATACATTTGTATATTTAATCATCTATTTTTCTGATCTATTATCAGTATTTACATGTAACACATGTTGTAATGAGCTACTCTTTGCTTTTATATAGTTTTGATATAAGATTAGAATGACTGCAACAATATTTTATAAAACAATTTCATTAATTAATTGCTAAGAAAGAAGATAATTATTCCTAATCATCAGCAATCTACATACATGTATTACTACTATTGGGAATTCCTAATCATTTGCAATCTACATGTTCCACCATGTTCATGCTCCGTAAGCGTCTAGAATTCCTGCTAATTGAATCACCAGTCATAATTTTCCTAAAGAAAAAAAGTTAAATTTTAAGTGAGATATAATGATCCATTCTCCCATAAAAACACAACAGTCCAAAATAGTGTGGATGACTAAAAGTTGTAATATAATACAGTTATCTAGAAAACTTTCACAGACATTTCTGTTAATTCAATTAGTTTCTTAATGTCAGACAGTTTCCACATTCCACTCTGTAATTGTTCTTTGTGGAAATTATTCCATTTTCATGTTTAGGCAACCAATTTTAATTTATAATACGCAGAAACCTTGTACATGTATCAGGATATCTACATGTATTTAAAAAGAAAAATTGTATATAAACCCCAAAAAAGTACTAGTGAATAAGATTGATACATTGTAAAATGGCTAAAAAAACCATAAAAGATAAACTAAAAACCACATTATATATAGTGCCAAATATCACAAATGTTTCTTACCTTGAGAGCCAATATTTTCAAAATGATAAAAAAAACTTGAATTAAACCTAAATTAATGCACTACTGTTCTTAAAGGACATAATATAATGCCAAAACTAAAATAGCCTATTTTGATCATGTTTTTCTTGTTTTGTAGATGTGTCAATATTGATATCATTATATAATCACATCACTGATCTTAAAAAGAAATTCTGTTCTCCACAGACAATCTGACACAGATCCTATTTCATTTTGTTTTTTATAGCTCAAAATTTCATTTTACTTGTCTTCACTCTTCACAACACAAGGATCTGGAAGAGTTGTTATACATGTATAACCTGCGTTCTAGTTAATGTGAGGGATTAGCCAATGAAACGATCTGCTACGGCGGATTGATTAATCAATGCCTGGCATCATAGGGTCAAATGCCGCTCATATGACCCCTGACATGACCTTCCACTATATCCGGTCAGATCTTCATATAGTGTAGGCCATCTAAAATATAAAAAAAAACGAAACGAAATATAGATCTGTATTTTAATTTGATTGCCCCACAGATAAATATCAATACTAAACTTAACAATATATCTTAATTTTAACTTCTTTTTTTTTTTTCAGTTTAATTTTGTGGGTCGGATATTGGGTCCGCGGGGTATGACAGCTAAAGAGTTAGAACAATATACAGGATGTAAAGTTATGGTTCGGGGTAAAGGCTCAATGAGGGATAAGAAAAAGGTATGTTATAAGGTTGATAATACATGTACATACTCTTTCTTTTAAGTTGGTTTAAACATCATGATGTTGCACTAGATTCACATTTTTCAGCTAAAGTTAAAACAAAAACAATCTTTATTAAGTTTAGAGAATTTGTCAAGAGATATGTTTGAACATTTTCTTCAATTTAATGTGCATGTATAAAAATGCCCAAGAGATGATTATCCCTTCAATACGGACTAGAAGATTCTTGTTCGTACCTCTTAGTGAACACCAACAGAGATTTATTTGATGATCTATGTTGTATTATGGGTTTTAATGAGTCTTTGATATGGATAGGGTTTGTCTATTTAGCACTTTATAAGGCATGTAAAATATTATTTGAATTACAATGTTTTGAAAATATTGAACTTTGATAAATGTCTCAAGAAGGTGGAGTTTGCATGTACAGTCTTATAACCAAATCTCACTAATGCAGTGTTTCTAGTAGATTTTGAAATTATTGAAAGACATCAGTCTATTTAAATATGAAAGTCATGGAAACAAAGCTTTGTTCTGGCTAAGTTTGTTGTCTGCTCAAAATATCCTCTTAAATGTACTGAAATTATTTGCAGATCTTTATTTGCATGAAGTGTTTTTTTATTATTTGAATGGTTCGTGACATATGATTTCACAAAGACAAATTATCAATAACTTAAAGCCTGTGAAATCAAAGTAAAGAGCGTTAACAAATATTACACTCTTCATTAAACATGGTGAACAGAAATGATTTGATTTTTCCTTTTTCACACTGTGTGTGTTAACGTGAGAAAATTCTTTGATACAAGATTTCATGGAACGTCAAGATAGTTTAAAGTGGCACTACTTGGATTGTTTTAACTGCCAACCCCGTGTAAATTATATAATAAAGTACATACATGATATTTGTAAATGGTATAATTGTCCAGACCCAATGCTGTGCGGAAGTAATTTTCAATTCCTGTGACCATTGAAAAGCAAATTGTCATTTTTCATGAATATTTCTAAAAGCATGTGATTTTACTTTAATATCATGAATATACAGTGATGGCTGTTGTAATGAAATGACTGCATTTGAAAGTACTCAACACCAGTTCTGGGTGTCTAGATATTCTTGATCCGGAGTGAACATCTGCAGAATTCAAAAGTAAAAATGTCAGATGGAAGTGGTCTTTAGAGGATAAGCTTATAAAGTGCACATAGGTTATTAATATACACAAGCGTTTGGACACTTAAGACCTAATACAACTGCCTTTACGAAATCTGCTCTGCACATATTGCAGGATTCTTTATGAAGGTTTAAAATTAGATCCCACTTTATAAACATGATCTAATAAAAGAATGGTTCAATTATATTATTGTAAAGGGTAGAATGTTTATTCTGCATTGCTTTAACAGCCTTCTTACTTCATTGATTGTAGGAAGAACAAAATCGGGGTAAAGCAAATTGGGAACATTTAAATGAAGAATTACATGTACTAATAACAGTTGAAGACACAAGGAAACGTGCTGAATTAAAATTACAGAAAGCAACAGAAGAAGTTAAAAAGTTATTAGTACCAGCAGTAAGTGATATTCTTATATCTGCCATGTTGAATACAGAAATTATAATCAAATACTACAGTTACACATTTTCTCACTAAATATGGAGTGTAATGTTTATATATTTACACTAAGAATTCTCAAGAAATCAGATAAAATGTTAGTATTTTGGTAATCTGGACCAATTTCATCCATATTCAAAATGGTTTTTTTTCTTTCTTATGAATATATAACTATTTCATTCACAATACAAAAAAAAGACAACTATAAATATCTTTTATTTAAAATGTAACTTAACAAATGACAAATATTTATCTTTTGAATTGGATATGTAAAAAGAAAATTGATATAGAGTTTAGTTTTGAGAAATTTTTAAAGAGACTCAAGAGGATTAAATTGTGGGTATTTTAATTAAATTCTTTCATCAGGATGTTCTCTAGGTGTTAATATGTGATCACATATTTGGAGGCTGTGTTGTCAATAGAACGTAATCTCAACTTTATCTAGACAATTGATTGCACCGAGATGGTGTTATCTTTTCCTATCTCCTTCAGATGTCTTAAATAAACATCATCCGGCTTTCTTAGATTGTTGCCTTTATTTCGTGGTAGCTGACAAAAGCTGTCTCAGTGTTGCTTTTCATCCTTATATCATATCTCACAACACATGGCACCTAATTTCAGAAAGAATATGAAATAGGCCTGTGATGGAATTGATCTTGCTGGTTATTTATTTACTTATTAAATTAATATAGTAAAATATTTTGCCAAATTATTAGAACAAAAAATAATTCGCTAGAATACTGTCAAAAAATATTCTGGTATTTATTTTAGGAAAATTGGCAATATCGTAACTTTTAATGCAGCTGTATAGGTGTTTATTATGATATAAACAACGCAATTTGATCATATGTTCATAGCATATTATTTATATAAATGTACATCAGATGTTTGATCAAGTTTTCCCCAGTTGCATAAACCAAGATTGAAAATTTGTCAAATAGCTGGTAAAGTGAGCCAAATGTTAGCCTGGGGTTAGTGTGACAAGTGTTGTGAGTTAATTCATGGAATTTAAGTGAGTAAAACCAAGTCAATCATTACAACAGTTTAGTAGCCAATACCAACAAAACAACCGGCTTATTCCCCTCACTACCTGTGCTACGACTAACGTCAACGCTTTCTTTGGCGGGTTAACAACAGACGGGTGTTTGAGAAGGGTTTTGAAGGCATTATTTATTCAGCGAAGATTTTCTGTTTTTAAAAACTATTTATTTATAGTTATGGTGATTACGTGATAAAAAAGAAGGCATCTCATCATAGATTAGTGTTATGATTGGAAACAGCATGTTATTTAGACAAGATCACTGGTTTATGTCTTTAATAAATGTAGTAGTACATGTAGTAGCTAAGTAATAACTGCTGCTTCCACTGAGGGTGATATCACTAAACAACCTTAATAAATACAAGATATTTTTGTTTATAGATTTTATTTCTGGCTAGATTTCTGAAAAGTTTTCGATCTTGATAATGTTAAATGTTAAACTTTACTTATAGAATTTTCATTGATTAGTTAGATATGGTTTTGGTAATAGTACAAATTACTAACTTGTCTTTGTATATGGTGGAAGATACTATCCTGTCTGTGAGATCTTTGTGATATTTATAGGCCTGGCCTACTTCATGCTGATAAAATATCTTGATTTAGACTCCTTTTATGGAATATTTGTCATGCCGAGTTTTAAATCTCTGGATAAGATTTGTTTATATTGAATTTGATAGTAAGATCCTCCATTACCACAAAACATCGTAAGAGAAATAGGAGTTACTCAATACCTCAGATACAAAACTAGTTGTATAATTTCATGAAGCTATACAGAGCTCAATTTTCTTTTGATCTTGAAATTTTTAAAACTTACTGTTTATTATTCGATCAAGATTGTTTACAAAGCTTGTGGTTTTGAGTTTAGAGTAATATTAGACAAAATAAATACAATTTGCATAAAATTTAACATATTAAATGAATTATGAAACAAAGTAGAGAACTTGATCAAACTATATTTTAAGATATGGCAGCCATATTGTTTCCCCAGATGTTGGCCTATTTTCGGATACTTTCTGGGAGCCTGGTTGGAATTTTTTTTACAGGCTTTAGTGCATAGTTTGTTGTACACACTGATTAAGTTAACTATTAGACGCTCAGCTTAATAATGGCAGACAGCCCTACTCTGATGTGATTGATGCCAGTCAGCTGTTCAAGAGAATATTTCTGATATAATGACTACCAATTTTTATCAGTTCATTAAATTTAAAGATACCATGTTTAGATACATATGGGAAACATTTCTCAGTAAGACTCAGTAAGAGGTACATGTGTCTGTTTTTGCTTTGCTTGGGAAAAATGTGTCTTAGCTGGTAATTCAGATCATACTCTACAGGCTTTGTTTGTTAAAAAGAAAACCGATAAAAAAAATTCCTGTATAAAATTGAAAAAGGAACGCTTGTATACATGGCATCGTAGACAGAAAGTAAACATCATGTATTATGTAAATGTTATACGATCATGGTGTTTAAGTTTTAAGAGTGATGGAAAGAGGTCATGTTGTCTGCACAGTTATAAGAAGTAAATTATTTCGCTTGACTGACACTTTCATTCAAACTTTAAGTAAGAAATGTACACTTCATAAAACTAATTCCCTCACACTAAATTCACACAACTGTTGTAATTTCATTAGGTTTTAAAATCAACTGTATATTTGCTTTAAATAAGGTTTCTAAACAAATACACTAACTATTTCGTAACAGATGAATAAGTTTCAAGTGTGTCTGGAGCAAAAGTAAATTATAATTGCCAATAGAATAGAGATCAGTTTTTACATTTTCATTTTTCTGCCTTCATGACTTTGTGTTTACCGGTAATGACATTCATTTGTATAGACCATTGATAGGATAGGCAGATGGATATGAGTATATTTCATTGTCCTCTTGTTGTGCAGTGTAATGTCATTGAAGTTCAGGAGTATGAAAATTTAGTTAAACAGAGAAACTTCATTATTGTCTATACCGAAACCTACATGTATAATACTGTATATAAGTTTGTATTACCCAAAAAGCTGCTTGAATTAGAATCAAGGTTTGTTACAAACTGTTATCTGTCCTTGATTCATTATCCTAGAAATTTCTATTAAAATTATCATGTACAAGTGTAAAAGCTGATGACAGCTATAAGACAGATCTTTGTGTATTTTAACCCCAAGCACATAAAGTTATTTATATTTAGATATTTTGTAGATATTTTTAGTAAATACCACAACACCAACAAACAACAGGAAATAAATAAATAGTTTTAAGATGTGATGTACAATAATATACCTGTACACATGATATACACATGTATAAATGCACTTTGTAAAGATTTCATATTGTTGACATTCGAATCTGCATGTTCTTAAGATTTACATTGAATTAAAATTACAGACCGAAGGGTTATCTAAAGACCGCTTAATGAACATTAAATAAATGAATTTTCAGTTCAATTTCAAATCCTTGCGGGCAATTTCATCTTTTATGAATGATTTTCAATCTTAAAGTTTTTATGGTTAAAGGGACATTCAATCAAACAAATTTTATTGTTGAGAATTTGCAGGCCACACAAGTAAGTTTCTGCATGGTGAAATGATTACTGTCATGTTTTTAAAATTAAGTTTAAAAAAACATATTGCAGGCTTAATACCTGATCCCAAGGAACTAAAAACATTGACTGATGAACAGACATGTGTTAATAAGTTATAACTTCTGCTACTGCTCTGTTGTATTCTGTATCAGCTGTGGAATTAACTGTCGAACTACTCTATATAATAAGAAGTTATAAATTAAGACTCTAGATTTAGTGTCAGCTTAGTAAAAGAAAATATGAGAATCTAAACTTACGATTAAAGAGGAATTAGAAATCAGATTTTTTTTTTTTTTTTTCTATTAGTCATGAATTGACAAAATATTTATATCAGCCTTGTTTAAATTAAATTGCATGCAAAATTTTAGAGAGATCTATCAATCTACAACTGAGATGTACAAGTTTTAAGATTGTGTATTAGTCATACATATTATAGCATATTGACACAGATAAACAATCTATTGATTCAAGTAGATCCATTCTTGAACTTCTGATAATTATCTTAGTGTAAGGTTATTTATTCTATGAATTTAAATTAGATATATTTTCGTTTTGAAAATTCTAATGCCTCATTAGGCATTACTTTAGTGTTGGAATGTCATGTAAGTCACTTGCATTTTTATTTTTATTTATTCATGCGTGTATACTTAGTTTTAATTATATTGAAAGACATGTAGATGTACTTATTACCTATGTTATCATCATCATCTTAAAGCCTTGAGGCGAGTGATCAGAATGACCTCAAATAGAAATATGATCTTCTCCTCATTACTTATTCTATATAGCTATCTATCCACAGTTCTACATTTATTATAGGTCAACATATAAAACCTACACTCCCCTCCTTTAAATTACCCACATATTTTATCAAAATAGCCAAATTTAATATAAAAAAACAACTTTATACACAGCTGCATGTTTGGTCATAATTCTTTTGGCAAAGTAAATGAAAATTTTGATTCTCCGTTGTGAGAAATGTGTTTACTACATGTACATGTATGTAAGTCATGTATCAATAATATACACTCACAACAGACAGACACCATCTTTCAACAGTAAACTGTAATGGTTTCAACCCTACCCCTGGCACAAATTTATGTTTTCTTTGAAGTTTGAAACAGATAGTAGTGCTCATTAAGTTTGAGGATGATATAAACAGATCATGTTTCCACGCCTACTGTACTTATCTAGTTTAGTCCTTGTAGGGGAGCCTTTTAAACACACCACATGTCTTCCATACCAGTAAGGAATTACTTTGGAGTGGTGCCTGCAATTCTTAAAGAGCTTTTCTTAGTCTTTTATAAGATGAGAGATTTAATTGAAGTTGAGGAATCCTATCGTTTTAGAGAAATATTAATGCTGTAATTTGATATGAGACGTTAAAGAAATCTCTATTTAGTTTGGTTTATGGATATTTAATGTAAATAAAATGGATGTTTATCAGTTAAGAAACCTGATTTTCAACTTTAATTGTCCGCCTTTTCTAATATAAAGATGCAAAGTTGTTGGACAAGTCCTAACCCCACCCTACATTAGATTAACAGTTAGTTGGCGAGACATCATCTAACTGGTTTTCTATATACCATTGTTATTTTCTCAACTGTATAGTCAAAAGTTAACGGGGCATTAAGAATACATCAATGCCTTCTTCTCAACAAAGAATAGTGGAAATTTTTAGCTAGGTCAAAACTACCTACCGTAAACACATTTAGCTATCTAGTTTTCTTTTGTGCTTGGTTATGGGTGTTTTTATTAACCATCTCGAAACTTAATACTACAGTTATCACCTCAAATGTTTTCAACCAAGTATTTTACACAATCATGTAATAAACTTTCCTTTCTTATAAAATAACATTTTTAATAGGATGGATATTGACAGTTTAATCTTACACAGATTTAAAACTGCTAAACTTGAAGGATTGACACATTTGAGTGTTTTGCATATATGTAAATTAGATGTTAATGCTGTTATAGGTGTAATCTGATATAGATGTAAGAAAATCCTAGTGTTGACATATAAATAGATCAATGGAGCATGAAGACTAGAGTCCTGGGGTTTTAATGAAACCTCAGCTCAACATAAGTGCTGAAAATTCAGTTTGTTCCCACACCTCAACTAACTTAATCTACTCTGAATTCAACACAGCTCTTCTTACAAGATTTAATGATAGTAACCAATCCAATCTGAAGATGAACATCATGATACTACTTCTAAAATGATATCTCCATTGTATATAGTGTATAAAAATACTTTAATAAAGTAACATCTCTTTGTAATTTTTAGCAGTTGACTTTTGACCCTTAGATGTTAGGTAGTCAAATTCTATGCGACTTGTAATAGAAAACTTGGAGATGATGAATAATAACCTTCAGTTTTCATTAAACCTTGAAGTTTTATCAAATCTGTATAAAAATCCTTTAGTATTTGGAGTTCAAACCTGTCTATTTTAAGGTTTTAAGATGTTTTGTGATAAAAGTCAATAAAGCGGATGTTTTTAAGCTTCAAAAATAGTTAACTAGAACCACCTGTGAATAAAAGTTCATTAATAATTATGAGATCAATCATCAATCAGTAGTAAAACATATTAATTATCAAACATTAAGTTAATTCTTCCTATGATTATTTGAAGTCCAATTCACAGTACTCCCTCATTTAGTCTTGGTACTGCACTCAGTTAACCCAGTTTTGAGTTTTGTTATTTGTGCCATCAGTACTGTTTGTTTATGGATATATTATTCTACCTTTTATATTAAGATTAGTAGAATTGGTTGTTTACATAATATTTCTCTTAGTACATTTATATTAGATATGATATAATCTTTGTGCGTAACATGAGATAGAAAATTATTTGGTATTAGTTCTCAAGTTCAGAGAGAAAACATATAGGCAAAAATTAGTACATGAGATGAAATTAGATGTTACAGATGTTCTGTTGCATGTATAATTACATAGGAATAAAGTCTTTGATGTTATACTTTCCCTATACAAGACTAGCATCATCAGACAACCAAATAATCGCTATATTAAACAGTTAAAAAATAGTAGCCCTTAAATAAAAAAAGGCAGTAAACTTCATTCCCACTGAAAACTAGAAATTTCTAGTGAGATATCTTTGATCAATATAAGAATGTAGCATGTTTAGTTTAAATGGGTAGCGTTTTGCATTTAAAGTCTTCATTTGGAAACGGGTACCGGTACGTCAAAATTTTAAAAGAAGGTAACTTAATATATAGAACAGTTCTGTTGAAAGTTTATTTCATACATGCACCTTATTATGAACTGGTGATCAGCAAAAATTTCTGGATATACTGTTCGTAAGATAAAATTATTGTTTTTACTCATGTTTTCAGCCCGAAGGAGAAGATGAATTGAAGAAAAAACAATTGATGGAATTGGCCATCTTAAATGGAACGTATCGTAATGATACTACAACATGTAAAATGATGCCAATAAATTTACATCGTAAGTGTTGTTTATATTCCATGCTTCAACTAACCAACGATATCTAACCTTATATAAAACTATTTGCAGCCTGATGGTGAAGATGATTTAAAGAAAAGACAACTGATGGAGTTAGCCATCATTAATGGCACATATCGTGACACATCGAAACCGGCCACAGCTACATCACAACCAGTCACTCCGAGTCGTAAGTCCATGGAATTTGGTCCCAATCCTTGTGTGCGGTGCTTAGCTTCTGGAACTTGTTCTATTTCCAGATTTTACTTTCAGTTCTGCTTTCAGCATGTCTTTTGTTATATATTTTGTACTTCAATATTTGGGCTTCGGCATTTTATCATTTTGTAGATTATTTTCCGGTTTTCTGATAGTTTTAGTTCTTTCCACCCGAGTGCTGCTGGGGAATCTTCTTAGCCTGTTACAGAAGAGTCCAATGGGATTTAGAGGGTGTAGTTCCTAGAACACATGCATATTATACACACCAAGCATGATATAGAACGCTTCCTTTGTAAATAGCATGCCATCATCATACCAATACACAGTGTGTACTCCACCACTACTTACACTATCTTTTTATCAAATACACTTTTCTCCTTGTCATTGTACGGTAGCTTTCTTTCCCCACTATTCTCATTATCCTAGTTTGTGTATTGCTGGTACTTATATTACTTAATCATTGGGTATATTAAGCTCTAAATGTTCATTTGGTACTAGTTTAATAAAGATAATGTACTGTAATCCCTGGATATTCCATAGTTAAATAGTCTAAGTGATGAACATTTAGCCCTTCATGTTCCCCTATATGACCAACACTTGCAATACAGAAATAGGTTAATCAGGATGCCAACCCCAGGATCTATTCTATTCACATCTTTATTTACATGCAGATTGTATTCAATATAGAAATGTATACAATTAAACTAAGTACATTTTAAATGGATTGGTGTGGAGTATTGGAATGATACGATTTTAAATGCATGATAAGTGGAAAAGGGTTTTAAATATAGATGTATTTTATATATGTAATTGTATGAAATGGTGGATGGACAGATTTTAAATTGCTTTTTATGTTAAAAGACTTTTTTATTTTTATTTTATTTTAACTTCTACTTTTATGATATCGTCGGTCATAACAGAATTCCGTCAATAAATTCATAAACTGAGGCAATCAAAATTCGAGAATTTGCTGAAAATGTACACAAACTCTTAAATAAATTCATAAACTGAGGCAATCAAAATACGCGAATTTCCTGAAAATGTACACAAATTCTTTATCAGTTTACAAAATGAGAAACTAATTAGGACCATTGTTAGTTATTACGCAATGATGAATAATCATTTATATCAGTTTTGGTCTAAGTTGGAAAGGCATTACATCATGAAACATTTTTATACCTGCTATGTACAGTCTTATCTGTATCAATCAGTATTTTTATACCCTTAATACTAGCTCGCCAAAGGCTTAAATTGCTAAGACTAAAAATAAGTTGGATTGCATTAGAATTACCATTATCTATGTCTTAGACAGTTAGTCTACATGTTAGAATAGGATGGCTCCATTTTCATTAAAGTCTTATCAACAGTATATTTTCAAATTGTGTTATCTTAATTAAAATTTTCTTATTCTTTATTTATTTGCAATCATATGTCAGTGTGTTTTCAAGTAGACTACTTTTTTCTGATAGCCTATATAACATATATGTAGTTTAATTGCTTTCTGTAAATAAAAAACCCGATGAATTCCCACAATAAAATTTTATGGTGATAAATTTGTTAGCTCAATGATAGCCCAACGAATCTTAACATAATAGAAGGATAATGTGTAATAGTAAAATGAAACATAGATATTGTATAGGACAAGATATTAAATAATGCGTATTCATCTTTATATATCATAAACCCACAACTGGTGTAATAAACATATATTGCTATGTAAATAAAGTTCAGCAAAAAAGAAATACAAATGAATTGATAGGTTACCTCATTTCGATTGACTGTCACTCTTATTCTGATTATGAATAAGTATTAACACATCAATCAAATAGGTTTCTTCCTGTCAATAAATACAAAAAAATCTACTAGGATAAATTATTATACTATCCATGTACATATCAAGGAAGAAAATATATTTATTTAACACTGTTGTCAAGGTAAAAAGAATAGATTGCCCATATGCTACATACATGTATCTATTAGCCGTAAACATCTTCTATTTCTTCCCTCTTACTTTAGAATATATTTTAAACTATGCCGTATTTTACTTTTCCTTCCTTGTTAAATAATGCATATTTTGTTTTGTAATTATCTCCAGTACATTTTGAATTATAAAAGTGTAATTGCATGCAATCTCCAGTTATTTTTATGAATTTCAAAATCTGCAGTTTACTGTGACAACATGTTGGCAATTTTCCCAACTTAATGACTTGAATACAAAATAGGTATTTTTTCTACTCCAATTAAAACACTTACGTCACTTAGGACTCATACAGGTATGATAAAATCTTATATTTCATGAAAAGTAGATACAAAATGTTCATGTTTCGGCTCTCCAAGCTTTTAGGTCAACATAACTTACAGTGCATCTTACATATTTCGGTGTGCCGTTATCAAATTGTAATAATAGAACTTGTATGCAAACCCTTTTTCATATTGCCTGATTATTTGGTTTTGATTTATTTTAAGATATTTTTCATGAATCACTGAATCAAATAAATGAACTATTTACAATCTAAATATACTACAGACATACATTTGTCTGTAAATCAATCCATCTATATTTAATACAATTATATATGTACCCGGTTTTAAATGTTAATAATAGTTCTGAGTTGGTGGTGTAATATGCATGTGTTCATAAATCATGAATTACATATTTTAAATTTCATATTTTTACCAAATGAAAAAATTAACAAAATTTTGTAAATGACTAAAAATCAACATTGATTAATTATTATTTTTATTCAATGCTTTCAACAGAATGGACAGCACAGGTAAAGAAGAAGTAGACTGTGTCCAGTTTTAATTAATTTAATTTTAATCATTGTTTTCATTCAGTTAAATTTTTGAGTATCTTAAGTGTGTTTTTATTTTTAAAGATTTTTTTCAAAAGATTTATTTTTAATTCAGTTTATTTTATTTCAGTGTTTCAAAAAAGTTTTTTTTTTTTTTTTTATCAACCTAACATTAGATTGTGTTATGGGAGATTTTTTTTCAAATTAAATATTTCTGTCACGTCGATTAACCAATCCATCAAATGTTACCGTTACAATGATGTCATTAACACACACGTTGATTTCTTACTAAAAATAGTTCTCGGATTTATTCTTTGAACTCTTACTAAAAATAGTTCTCAGATTTATTCTTTGAACTTCACCAAATAAGTTTTAAAAAGTTTCTCATGCACAGATTGATTTGGATTAAAAATAATTTTTATTTGTATGTTAATACCATATTTTGAGAAATATGAAACTGTTTCTAGATTTAGATATGAAATACATATATGCAATATATTTTTGTTTTCCAGAAGCTCCCAGGTTCATGGGTCCACCTTTAACAGTACAACAAGCCGCTCAATTACGAACAGGGACACCGACCGGAGCCCCACTTATTCTCGCACAACGCATGCCAAATATTGCCACAAGTACTGCTGGAATGATGAATGGTCAACCACCACCATTAATATCACCAACAGATGGGGGATTAATGTATAACCCTTATGAGTATCCATTCGCCTATGCACCCGCTGCACATATATTAGAGTACCCATCAGGATTTGAACAAGCTGCTGCTGGTATGTTCGTTAGATGATGATGATAACTAAACTTCTATTTTCAATTACATATATATTCACTTCATATCTTTAGTCCATTATTTCACTTGCATTATGCTAAACCCTTAAAAAAGGAAAATGAAAAAAAGGGAATCTAGGATTTTAGAAGTTTACCTTTATTTTATTTAAAACACATGTATTTCATGGTGACAGTAAAAGTTTGGACTAAAGATGTTGAAGTTTCATAAGATAATGGGAGTTTGAATGTGTTTAGATAATGTTGATACATATATTTATAGTGGGTATAGATGTGGTATTGACAGTATTACACAGCGTTCATTTGTTCTATCAAGTTCAGATGTTTTTAATGCAATTTTTGCTCAATATTTCTATCATAAATGATCAAGATTAACAATTGACATTACATGTATAGTGTATGTTCGTCTGTTAATAGCAGACAGTTTTAAAATTTTACCATGTGAAGTGCAATGAAAACATTCCAAGTTTGATATTTTGGTGTAGAAATGTTAAGATTTAGTGCCCTGCTCAAAATGTGCAATTACTTTGACGTAATATGCGTTATTTTGCTTTTAAAGCGATGTGTGCAATTTTATTCAGTTTGTTAAATTGAATGGCGCCTTGCAGATTTTTGTTGTTTCTTAATGTGACAGTTTTAAAGGGATCTGAAATCCACATTCCTTGTGTTCGTGTTTGCTTGATCTCGTATGAGTTATTATGTAGTCAAGACGATAGTTTGGAATGTTTTGTTATTATGATACCATTCCCCCTGGTGTTGTTGTTATTGTTGCTAGTAGAGAAATCCATAAACGGGGCAGTTTGTCCACCCCGTTATAAAGCTCATTATACAATATAAGACAAAATAACCCAGAACGGTTACACAATCGGATTTTATACTCATGAGGATACATGATATCGTAATCATCACTTGTCTTATAATCGTGTTCGTTCACTATAGTTTATATATCGCATGTTTAAAAAAACGTATTCGAATATTACTCTATTTTGTCACAACAGGTAAATCTTCCAAGACTACCTTGTAATGTAGATTTTTATTGGAGAATTAGACGTAGCTAATAATACTATGTTTTTCTACAAAATATATGATTTCTTAAATAATATGTATATTGGTTTGGTGGTGGTTGTGAGTTTTATACTTACTCTATACATATATATATATATAGTATACAATATAATTTAATAGAAGTGATTATTATTCATTAAGGTATTGCTTTTTAATTAATCATGATGGCTTTTATTTCAGTTTGTCTCATATCTCCTGGTCTAATGTCTACTAATTTTTTCTCTCATCAGTGTATTGAAATTTGATCACTGGTTGATTTGAACTCTGACCCCTAATAATTAACATAAGGAAGAGAAACATTGAGTAAAGTATTTAGAATATTGATTCCATGGCGTGACATCAATGTATCAGACATATTAACTTTCCCCCGAAAATACTTTTATCACTTGGATGTCATGCTACATAATCGGCCTACTATCCTTTGATTTGACTTAAGGATGAACTGCTGGAAGACATCAGTTTTCAATTTTGATTAGAAATTAGCTTTTTGGAATTAAAAGTTGAAAGAGAAAAGTTACAAAACCCAAACTGGTTTCATCAAAGTGATGCATTACCATACTCTTGTTTCTTACTATATTGTGTGACCGGAATAACGTTTTGATTAACAGCCCCATATTTAAAATTACAAATTATTTATACAAAATATTAATAATTCTTTACAAATTCTAAATAAATTAACACAGTGGCTTAGTCCATACACGTTGTTATTTGACAAAAACCGAGTTCTTGTCAAACTTTTCGTTAAAGTTTTCTTCATATTTGTTATCTTTGTAATATATAGAAAGATATTAGACATTTTATTTGTCTCCCATATCAAGGAACCAGGAGATATGAATTTGTTGTTTTTACTGTAGTTGAATTTATTTTTGTTTTTTCATTGTTGCAAGATTTCTATGATTATGTGGCGTATTGTAGGTGCTGTACCGAAAATAAGACGAACAATAGCTGGAATGCGAGAACACCCTTACACTAGGGTCACAACGCTTCCATAAAAATGGAAGGTTAGTTGTGTTACATGTTTTGTAACATTTTGTTTTATTTTCACCATGACAGACCAATCAAAATACACCAATTATTTGTTGTTGATTCAGTTAATATAGTCGATTAAAAGTTAGGTTCAGAAATTTAGATTACAGAATAATAGTACCTGACATGTAAAAAGTGATAGATAACTTTAAGTCAGAGTTTGAACTCTACTGGTAATTAAATTGAACTTGCAGTCAGGGTGACTAAGACTCCAAACATTACAAAACTAATGATTTGCCTGTCCTTGCCAGTATACACATACATGTCGATTTTAGTTCTATAGTTATAGGTATGCCAATTTACTTTGTTCCTATTTCAATACACATTATGAGGAAAGCCTATTACATGTACATTTCTAGATGTACTTAAGTCTTTTTCTCTCAATGTAGGACTATAATTTGCTCAACAACAAATAACTGGTACATTAAAATTGTTTTCTCATTGTTTTCAAAGAGGTTTTATATTATGTTTTATCTTTTAGTATAGCAGAGTATTTATATTTCTTTTTATACACTTTTTGTTTATATGCAAATTTTTTATGTAGTATTTTATATTGCAAGTTTATGTGATAGTTTACGAATATTCGACTAGACCGTATTATATTGAAATTTGCATAATATTAGAATTGTAAAAGACATACTTTAGGTGATGGTTGTTAAAATCATTTTAAGAGTCCCATATCATTGAACATTAGAATCAAAATCATTTTCATTGTTTATAAAAAAAAAAAAAATAAATTATAATCATTTCTAAGCTTAAAATCAAAATCAATTCAAAATAAAGAAAAAAAAATCAATATTATGTTTTTAATTTTTGTTTTTCGCTTTAAAAATGAAAAAAAAAAATGTTTTGAAATGTTTGAAAGTTTAAATGCTATTACATGTAGCTTTAGAATTTTTGTTTTATTGAAACTGAAGTAGTTTGTAATATGTGACAATTTGTAAATTGAATGTAATATATTCATTCATTTGAAAGAAAGAATGTTGCATTGATTATGAAATCAAAATAAAATGTGCAATGATTGTTTTGAAGATATATAATATATAAAAGTAATAAAAGTCAATTCTACACAAGTTAATTCCGTCTCATTTATTTTATTTTGGATATCAAACATCGAGTTGAATGATTTCCTCTTGAAAATTAAAACTAAAAATAAAACTAATTAATTTAATATCTAAAACTAAACAAAAATAAAACCTTAAATAATCGTAGTAACTTTTAAACTTAGTTGATGAAAATTAATATTAATCAGTTGTGTCCATAGGGAACCTTAACAATTATGTCGTTGTAATTAAATGAGGTGTGGGACGTATTTTTTTTAACAGACATTACTAACGATTTGTTCAATTAGAGATGTGCATTCTAAAATATTTATTACCGAACTGCTTCTTTTTGTAGCTGAACTATGTAGTGCTGAAATTAGTTCACAAGCACTTGTATAATACAATCACTTATCTAATGATTCTTATAGCTTACATTTATCCAAATTTAATTTCAAGTTAACAATTTGATATTAATTTATTTCCCCATTCCAAATTAGACTGATTTCATATAATATAATATTATATATATCTCGAATTTACTTCCAAGCATGGGGGGTGCTTGCATGTTTTCTGGCCATTTTTGACACACTTTAATTCAACAGTCCTGAGTAATGTCTGTATTTGTTAACCTGTGTTGGTCATCTTTCGTATTTGATATTATTATATATAATGTTAATCTTTCTAGAGCCTCAGCCCTCAATGGCCCTTATTTTACAACAACTATTTTATTCTGGACCATGTTTTAAAAACCAACTAATCTAATCTAATTATTTTTCATGTTTTATAGTCTAATCAACCTATTATATCAGTGAGGAATAATTATCACATCTATTTAATTATTATTCTGCCTGATTAATAACGTACATGTAATTAATACTTTATCTTTTATTCAAAATCAATTCTATCCTTGCACAAGAACAATTTCTCCCTCCATCCACAACAAAATGGCTCTTCAAAGTTGACAATGTAGATGCTCTAACACAGGCCTTTAACATTTATAAAAAACAGGTTATCATATAATATTTTGTAATCTTCACCACCTTGAATGCCAAATCGTAGCAGAAGAAAAACTAACATACTTTTTCTTTTTTTTCTTTTTTATCAAACTAATACAGCTGGCAACTAACAAACCCTGGTCACAAAGTCCATCCCTGTTGTGGCTTTTTGAGGGCTAGCCGACACTGCACATCTCACATCATCTACAGTATTAGGAGATCGGGCCATGAAATCAGTCGCTGTACTCTACATCACTAATGCCTTGACTGGGAACTGTTTTAATTCTTTGGACAGTTGTTTGAAAGGTGCCTCACGAGGGCATCCTGCCAGCAGCTAAGTGCCTGTATTAATTTGACTGGTTACTAATGTTGCTGTGAAGTTCGTCTCATCTCTGTAGGACTTATATTTAAATATATATTTATACTGTAAATTATGTTAGATTTTGTTAGAAATCGGCACCTAGTTTAATCAAAACTTTCATGCATATCTTTTTTGTTAAATATAAATTATCATTTTTTCTTTTGTATCATTTAGAAGAGGGATTTTTTTGTACATAGTTCTATTTTTACTTTAAATCATGCGAACAAAAAAGAATTATTATAGCATAATTTGTAAATTTTACATGAGGATGAATAAGCTTTGTACAGGATTGATATTTTGTCCTATATGGAATCTCAATATGAAAAAATCAGCCTATACAAAGTTGCATAATTCTACTGCTGTTTGATATTATATTATATACTGTCATATGTTACATATTAAAATATACTCTTGTACAACTCCAGAGATGAGAAGCGCACACCAGTAGAATCTTTTTCAAATTCTATGATGAATATTAACTAATTACTGTATGTAGTCTCAATTTAATTATTTAATGCCAAAATTAATTAGATCTTCATTATATATGGCTGAAAGATAATTTGATACCGTAGATGATATGATTGTTTAAAAATATTATTCATCTTTTGTTAGACCGGTTTTGTCTATTATTTTCACACTGATCATGGCTCAAAAGATAGAATGAATAATAGAATTTTAATAAGTAATTACTCTTTTTCTCTTAATTTAGCTACGGTTGTATTAGATATTAATTGCTTCATATCATCAAGGTATCCAATCAGTCAATCTAAAGTATTAACATGTCAGTTTAATATCTTGTTTCATTATAACTGTTAATATATTTTTTTGTTAACCAGATCTATTTGTTGATGGTAACCCTGTTATATTTTTATTAATGTTAGATTGCTTTATATTTAAAATTCAATTCTCTGCAGCTGGCTTCAGATTTATAATTTTCCACCTTTTCCACACTGTGTCAGAGAACTTTGTATCATTCAAATTTACAACCCGAACAACATGTAATCAATGAGAACTATTCTTTTTTTTCCGAGAGAAATTTGAAAACAAGCTGAAACATATTAGAATATTCTTATATTGGAATCTTTCCAACTGGTTTTGTTTGTGGTACATGCTTTAAAATTTACAAAGAAAAACATTAAGAGTTTAGTTTATGGCTTTGATTAGAAGTTCAGTGTAAACTGGAGCTAGCTGCTGATTAGCTTGAATCTCAAACTGGCATGCAAGAAAATATATGGCATATGCCAAAACTAGAATTATATTTCTAATACTGATGACTCTTCCTCACACCTTTTATATTATATCATTAACATACATGATTTAAGGCAAGTGTGTTGTAACATATCATTATAGTGCTGTTATGGTGAGAATATCGAGGGAGTAAATGAAAAAAAGACTTTCTGATGACCTTATGTGTGATATGATTGTACTTAAAAGTAAGACATATCTATGCAATCTACAATCCCGCCCATCAACAGCTAATTGCCCAGCATATCTGAGATCTTAATGTTGCCCTACCCCTTCTCGGAATGGGCATTCTTACACTCTGGGGTTCAATATTTTAATTAGCTTATATTCTGGAGAAGTTCGTTCATTAATCTCAAGATTTCATCAAATGAATTATTATTTTATATTGTACACATCTCATTTTGTATTTTTTGTAGCGTTTGTATAGCTATGCATGTAATTATGCAGGGTTCGTAAATAGGGAGGACTTGAACATTTTAATATGTCCAGAGATTAATGACTTAAAAGTCTTCCAATGATCATTTTGTATATGCATAGTATTAGAACAAACTTGATCCTGTATATACTCAAACTATAGGCATCTTTGCGAAGATGCTGTCAATATATGTGATGTTATAGTACTTAAAGGACGTCACTATGGTGTTGTGTGCTCTAGAGGTTTGGCATTGTGTGTATTGTCTCATAATGACCAACCTTCATATGTTTTATTGCTCAGATATTACGCCATGTACCTGTGTAATGGCACCTTGTGTATAAATGTCTTGCAGAACTGTGAGATTGGTGTGGTAATTGCCAAATTTGGACAAGTTTCCCCCCCCCCCCTTTTCTTTCCTCTTTCTCTTTGTATATTCAAATGTGTAATTGAAGTGCGTTTAATGTGATGCCCTCCTCTTAGCAAAATATGACTTCCATGAACGGAATTATCTAACAATGTGCCTTACCTGCATGGAATATTATAGGAATCAAGCCATAAGATAACTGGCTTTGCATATTTTTGTACTTGAATTGTAACTGTAATTTGTTGATGCTTTTCATATACTACTAAGTACATTATAAAATCTTGTGTATCGTTTATTTATATATAATTGAATATCTTAGGTAAGTGAATGTTTTCCATGTGCAACACGTCAAAATGTTCAGCATAATATTTAAGTTAACTAACTGTTTTATCGGCTTTGGGCAGGAGATATTATTAATTAATACATTTACTGCCTGAAATTTGAGGGAATCTCATTTCTTATAATCATATTTTACCATACAGTTCTACTAATAATTTGTCACTTGAAATACTCCAGTCACTTTCTTCCATCCTGCTAAAACATTTACTATTTACTTGAATAATATTGGACTAATAGTATCTCCTTGTGTAACCTCTATCTTAATCTAATCTCAATTAAACATATCTTCCTCTATTGGAAACACTTGAATCAGATTATATTTGTAAGGGTTTTTGAGTGATTGATATTTAATGGGGGGTATTTACAAATTCTGCTCAATTAACTTAAATGAACTTATTTTAAAAAAATGAGATATTTTATAAGTTGGTTATTAACAAGCAGTATGGAAGTTTGTTTAATGGTGGTGTTAATAGTTCAAGATATATTAACACTGTTTGCATCATTCATTATTAACCACTCAATTGCTACAGCTTTCATTTAACAATTGGCCAATTTTTTTTTGTACCTTCGTACTTATATTATTATTACTACTATTATTATTATATACAGCAATAAAATGTTTGTAGCCCAAAGAATCCCTTTCTTCTTTTTCCAACTAACTCAATAAAACAAGTATTTTGTTGTGTTGTAAATACTTTGAAGCTGGCATGATACATTTCTGGTTTTGTGTGGTTTGAGGTTGATGTATTTTTGTCTAACAAACTACATATTGTTGGTATTTTTTATATGTGAGCAGATTTTTTTTTTATCTCAGTAACATTGACTAACTCTTCAACACAAATGACTACCCAAACTAGAATCGCACAAGTAATTCCCAGGTACATGTATATAGTTTTATGATCAAGTTTCATTACTTGAAAGTCATTTTATGCCTTTTTGCTTGGTAGTTGGTAGCCAATACTTGACAACTAAAACAATAATTAACATTAGAGCTGTTTCTATTAATCTAACAAGTGCCTTATAATACATACATTAACAACGTGATGGTTATTATTTACATTAATACTGAGGGAAAACTTGTCCAAAGTCTGCCTTAATAACAAAATAGGGTTTGGACTCATCTTGCCATTATGTGATTGTTTCTTCTTGTTTTTTTTTTTTTGTTTTTTTCATTTTGAGACTTGCTCAATTGCTCAAATTGTTGTATATGACATAATACATACTAAATGACTATGTGCTTCTTGTATGTAGGGAATTTTTCTCCTTTTTTTAAATATTTATCCATGACATGGTTTATACATATTGACTTTTTACATATAGTTAGCTCTGGTATGGTTGGCACTCTTTCAAAGCATAATTTTTCTATTCTCAATTTTTATATACATTTATATATATTTTAAAAAAAGAATCTCAATTATGAACCGTGCAACCATAATAGATTAAAAAAAATTCTGTGGTCTTTTATATTGATCAGTTGTTAATGTCAAAGATTAAAAATGTAAGTAATATTTGCGAATTAACCAGGGTTTTATTTATTGGGTTACTAGTAACCTTGAATTGCTGTTGAATTGGTAATTTCCTCGTCCTTTTTAAAAATTAAATCCACAAAATTAATTTTATGGAAGTAAATAAGATGCTCATTAAAAAAAATCTCTTAATTTTAATTCTAAATAGTTAATTGATCAACAGTAAGATATAAGATGAAATTTTAAATAGATAATTTATTTCTGAAGAATTAATATTTTATAGTGAGATATAGGGCCTTTTTTTTAAAAAAAAATGAAATAATCCTATTCGGTTATGTTTTACTATCGTGTGTTCTACCTCATATGTTGAACCCAGGATTCTTTCATTAATCTGTTATTGCGCGGCCAATTATACCAGAGATGTTTAGGTGCTTCCAGTCGCTCATAATTTTGTTAATGTCGACCAGTATTTACTAAAGTGTATATAGTACATAATGAACTAAGCTATATATCGTTGGTTTTAATCGTGTATTTTTTTGCGCCCAGTATTGTGGGGATATATTCGACCCTATTTATCACAAGCCAGCAACTTCAAGGTTATCAACGAATAAAGTGTATGCTGCAATGTTATGTGTATTTAGATAGTTTTTGTTTCTTCATTCTGCAAGCACGTTTACCCCGTCGACATTAAAATGTGTTGATCGGACAAACCCAAAGGAGAATATTTGTCAACATGGACACATCTATTAATAGCTCACAGCCAGTGGAGAGCATTTGATGGACAAGAATTGATTGTATTATATTTTAGCTGAAACCCTTCACTTTCTTTCTCTGACCAAATCCCGCTCCAACGTAGGCCCTACTTCTAATCTGAATTTGTAGACTGGACCATTTTCCGAAATGAAATGAAATGGGGTTTAACGTCCTACTGTTTTGCTCCTAAACTGGGCTAATGAAGATGGGGGAACATTTTTACCTTCCCTTCCATTGATTGATCCTTTGAATGGAGTTGTCGAAAAACGATAGTACCTGCTAACAGCTATTTACACATTGGGTTTAAAGGCTCAATACCACTCTTGTTGTAACTGAATAGGGGGGTTGGATGGCTGAATGGTTAGCGTGTGCGCGCTGTATCATACAGTCTGTCATTGAGTCGACTGGCGTGGTTTCGAATCCCCGGTTGTACGTGGCAAGGAGTAGGGTCGCCTGTCCAACCTCGTGGGTTTTCTCCGGGTCCTCCCCCCTAACCCCAGATCACTACCCATACAGATACAGTAGCTATAGTTATTGAAGGAAGCCGGATATAACCCATTCATTCCAGAAAATCTGATACCGCTGCGAAATGTCTTCTCTTGACAATTCATTGGAATTATACCCATAGGCGTACGGGGGAATTTTTGACCTGGGGGGGGGGGGTGCCCAAAAAATGTAGTTAGGTTCTTAGTATGTTACATAATAATAATAAATTCGCTGTTAAATTGGACACATTCAAGGACACAATATTTTTTTTATACAACTTTTACAAAGTACAATTGTGTGCCCAAAATTTCCCAGCATTTGGTGCCCAAAATGGGTGGGCGACCGCCCGAGCCACACCCCACCCCCAGCTCGTACGCCTATGACTATACCCCGCGTGTTCCGAACTTTAATTTATTAAAACAGTATTTGAGATTGAAAGTGGATCACATATTAAACATTTCTAGCATTAAAATTGTCCTAAAGGCCCCCACCTGCTTTTTGCGCGACCTACGGTTAGCTGCCGACTTGGAAATATCTCATTACGAAGTCTCTGCCCCTCCATCTACTTCAGCTGTGTACAGCCTGACTGGGACCCACCTACAAGAATAGTAACAAAGCCGCCTGTAACATATAAAACAATCACCTCAGTTAGGGAATACTGAATTTCGATATCCTTTTCCTTGCGGCGAGATGAACAATCCCATCAAGAATTCTGCCCTGCATTAAGTTCACAAAAGGTAAAATCAAATTTTATGGTCAGAAATATAGCAACACCAAAAAGTCGTTAGAATTTTGTCTACAAGCTTTCAAGTCGAGATGGAAATGTGAGGATAATTTGACGGTTCTAAAAATTTGCGACCTGAGTGTTACAGGGCTCTTCGTTATGACCAATTGGACAATCGCCACTTTTTGAACGAAATGAAATGGCGTTTAACTTCCTACTTTTCTGCTTGACCCGAGTCGAGCAACGCTGTGCAATGAGGGAATTTTGCCGGAGGTGGCGCTACGGTCTCCTCTTATTTCGAATTCCAATTAGTATGGGTTCTTTTACGTGCACGTCAATATATACACGGGACCTCTGTCCTGCATCGCTTACAAAGGGGAAATAATACCGGAAAATGCCGAGGAGCTTTCTCGGCCAACACCGGGATCGAACCTGAGACTTCAACGTTAGTGCGTCATTGTGTCTTATTCATTAAGTCACCGCGGTTCCAAGTCTGAACGAACCAATATTGTTTACATAGGGCGGGATATCCATTTCTCTGGGGTGATATCATCATCAACTTAACTGCACATTTTAGCCTTTTTTTAAAACATTTTTGTCGAAATCCTGTTTAATACTAAGCACCTCTATCGCATGCTTATCGATGTTTGTCATATTAGCGCCTTTGTTTAGAGCTTTCACAATGTTATTTTAGAATACCAACTACATAGCTTTCATTCAGTTATAAAGTGGGACATGGTTTGCATCATAAGTCAATTTGTTTCGCATGTTTAAGATTACATCACCGTGGTACAGGAGTAATAAAACTGTTGATTTGATCAATATGCGTTAAACGTCTGACCAAAAGTTAACATTTCTTTAACATTCAGTTACACAATAATCGCGTTCATGAGAATACTAAAGATTCAACCCAAATGACTGAGATTGGCTATTCCCAAAAAAAACCCAAAAAAACATTAATTAAACATGCCTGCAGGTAATTTTGATACAAACTTCACCGTTCTTCAGTCATTACCCCTTTACTGAATACGTAACTTTCAAGGGAAAACAACCCCCACCCCCGTTTTAAGATTTGAGGTTATTTGTTGTGTACTTGTCTCAATGTAAGAGGCGAATCCATGAATTTTTGCAGGAGGGGGTTTGCCGGGTTCCCGAGACATATCTTTTAGTGGGGGTGGGTCTTGAAAATATTTGAGAAATAAGGTCTCATTTTGGCATATATCCAAAACACCAACAAACCTTCCCTCGGGATCCGCCCCTGAATATATTTTTGATCTACCGTGAGTTTGATACCACAAGGCATCTTCTGGGTCAGTTTCAAAACAAAATTTCAACAAAACTTGTACTCATTGTTGTCCTGGATGGTCCTTCCTACGTAAAAAAAAATTCTTAAGTACAAATGGAATTTAGTAATTGCGTACATATACATATTTGGTCATTCTGCATGCTCTATTGGGATCTACGTACTTGGCTTAAATGCCCGGGGATCTTAAATCTTGTCATAATTTGCTGCTCGCCTTATCTCATAATTTTACATCTAAAACTTATACATGCCCGACAAACCTGCAATAAGACCCAACAATAATATGCTTGATAAGACGAGTACATCCTGCTATTCAGATTGAACTGCCTTTAGAAATCAGAACAATAACGACAAAGATATTTTTACTAACAAGTGTGCTCTGGGTGGTTTACTCTTCGGCGATATTGGTATACTACATAAGTTTTTGTTATCAAAAAGTCTTTGTGTATTAAAAGCAATGCGACTTTAAAGCGCACGTCAATTACAGAGAAACCACGCCATGCAACGTTTCAGGCAAAAAGTGTATAAAAGATAATAATAACCCCATGAGCAACTAATCATGTTATTAGATCATTATCAACTGGATAGGATGTTATGCATTTCCCATACTAGCCATTTTATTCTATTTTAAAGGTTCTTTTTGAAAAGAATGATTCGCCGAACAATTCCTTAGATCTAGTAGTCCCGTGGCTGTCATTTATAAATAACTTAAAATAAGACCAGACCAGCTATTTAGTGGGTAATTCTCGATAATATCAGATAATCATGATGAGAATACTACGAACACTACAATAGAACAGATGATAGTTTATCGGTTGGAACAATGCTGGAGATCGAAATGGTCTCATCCATTTTTTATGGAATAAGACTAGAAATAAAGGATCCTAGATGTGAACTTGTCTACCAGTAGTCTTAAATTAAGCCGACGGATTACCACGGCCAGACTATACTGTTCACTTTTTGTTTGCTTTGGGATCTTTAATCCAAATAAAGAGCTGATTACAGGCACCAAAGGATTTTATATCTCTTAGTATACTGGACATACCTCTTCAGGAGGCATGGTTGACAATATTCATTGTTACGGGATATTCCTCAATCATGTCTGTATAGTTTTAACATTGACTTGAGGAGACATAGGTCTTTAATCTCTACACTCGTTTTATTTACAATCGATACAGAAACCAAATTGCCAATAGCTCTGTAAAAGCTAGTGTTTGTTTGGACTTAGGTCGCGTGTGTTGCTTGTTATCACGAATTTCCTACACTTAACCAAACAATTCGACACTGAACGAAATATATAAAAACTAAATTAATTTAAACACCACTGTTGACCAAGTCATCTCAATAAAAGCCTCTAAAGGAGAATTGTCGAGGACAAAGATTAAAAATATGATAGGGAATTATTGGTCTTCAGTCCACTGCAGTCTTTGTGTACTGAAGTCCAATGGATAAATCAGCACAACCGCTTCAGACTTCCGATGTTCGGCTGGCGATGGTATGGGAAAGAACACTCGTCTCGAATGTTAACTATGTGTCAAGACAATTACAATCGTTAGAACTGATCAATCTGTGCCCCCTCTCATTGGATTTCCGAAATTTGCCGAGTCTTGTTAAACGTGTTCGATTGTACTCGGTGAGAGTCTTGTCTAATTGTGTGCTAAAAGAAGAGCGTCTGTTTACCAGAAGAAATATCTTACAATTTCAAAATTTCGATATAGCTCAAAAGAACAAATTGAATGAAATGCACTCTTAACTCCCGTAAAATTCTACAAGAAATTATTCTGCTGCTAAACAGATTCCATTTTTAACTTTTGTTATATGAATAGATAATTTTGGCTGTACCACAAACAAACAGCTGAAAAGGTCACATTTATGCAGATTGGGCATTACAGATTGCAGCGTAACCTGTTGATTTGCATACAAGCACTGATTCCAACTACACAGATCAGATAGTCTGACATTCTTCTCCTGTCATCGTTCTTACATTTCACGTATTTCTCAAACCATTTAATGCAACACAATACTTCTTTTAATATGGATTTTCTTATCTTTACCTATACCTGCTGAATTATAAAACAATAGGAAATATTAGTATTAACGGATAAATCGATGGTGCAACGTGTCAGATTAAAACAATTGGTAGATCCTTTTATATTGCTTGAATAAACCAAGAATTACGAAATTTATGTGCGATTTCTAATATCACTACGACATGTCTAAATAGAACACTAGTATTTGGATCTAGTTATTGAGATAAACATGGTGCAATGGTCACCTACAGTTACCAGTAGAGTATTATTTTTATATACATATTAATGGGGATGGGGGTATCTCAGTTATTTTTAGACTAACATATAGACTACC